GTGTGAGAGAGAGAGAGAGAGAGAGAGAGAGAGAGAGAGAGAGAGAGAGAGAGATCGTTTATTGGAGAGAGAGAGAGCGGTCTGGGCAATGCCTCCTCCAACACACTGGCCCAGAACCAAGACATCTGACTTAAAAAGGTTGCCACCCCGGGTCCAGAGCAAGTAACACAACCGTGGTGGCAGTATTATTTATTTATTATTATTTAAAAAACAGGATGAAAGGCTGCCACTGCCTGGTCTGGGAACAGCCCACTTGGATTATGGCAACGCCTTGCACTCGGGCCTGGCCTGGCAGATGGCTTGGAAAGCTACAGCCAGATCACAAGCCGGGTCAGGGTGTGTCTTGTCAGTTTAGAGAGAAGCTGCACCCCTGCCTTGGACCATTTCCAAGTTCACTTCCAAGGCCTGGTCTTAAGCTTTTCGAATTCTCTACACAGCTTGGCCTTTGATTCCCTTAAAGGCAAGCTTCCCCCTTCCCTATTTGTCTGTCTTAGAGTTCGGAGTTGAATCGGTTTCCACCGTCCCACGATGCATGCGCCCGCTGCTTCGATGGGAGCAGAATACTACTGCTCAGTTAGACTTGTAACACTGTGCATCCTTCTTGTAACACCTTTCCTTCTTCAGCGAGAGTGTCGACCAGGCGGTGGAGATGTACAATCTCCAGAAAATCACCCTGCTCCGGGAGATCTCCCTTAAAACTGGAATCCAGGTGAGCGCAGCGTGCCCAAATTCTGCTTTCTTCAGCCTTCCCTCTCCAAACACAGTGTAACACAACCTGGCAGGTTGTTGTGAGGAAGAGGCAGGCGGAAACAGGTGCTTTAGGTTGATGCTCTCACTTGAACCTCAAGAGCGCTTCAGCCTTCTAGAATTGGGGTGGGGGGACAAAAGGAAGATCCGACCGGTGGCTGGCAGGATTTGGTTGTCAGAGGAGCAGGTTGGACCCGCTAAGGTGACGCTCTGCGCCCCTGCAGTGGAGGCCACTTTGATGTTTTTTTCTCTCCTCTTAGAAAAATGTGCAAAACATTCCCTGCTTCTTCTTAGTACTATTAATTACATTTCTATACTGCCCATAGCCAATAGCACTCCGGCCACGTCACATGTTAAGTCCCCCATCCAGATTCCAACCAGGCCTGACCCTGCTTGGTTTCCAGGAGGCACCTCGGACTGTATTCACCTGGCGCCCTCGCTTTATTCCTTCGGCCTCAGGCAAACCCCTTTTTCTTTTCCCAACGTTTTAACCTTTCATTGGTTTTATCTTTGTTTTTATTGTCAGTGGTCAGATGCAGTCTGTTGTTTGTTGGAATGTTGTTGGTTTGGTTTTTGTAAGCTGTCCAGAGACTCTGGTATTGGACGGCATATAAACCCTTAAAAAAACAAGCGAACACGTAGCGTCCATATTTTTTATTTTTGTTTCAGATCCTGCTGAAAGAGTACAACTTTGATAACCGGCACAAGCCATCGTTCACTGAGGAGGACATTCTCAATATCTTCCCGGTTGTGAAACACGTCAACCCCAAAGCGTCAGATGCTTTCAACTTCTTCCAGAGTGGCCAGGCAAAGGTGCAGCAAGGTAGGCACTCATGGCAAAGAACGGGGGTCGTGGGGGGGGGGGGGGAGATGCAGCCCCGAGAACTGAGCCCTTTAATGGATGCTGCTTTCCTGAGCTCTTTTCCAAAACTGGTTAGTGATTCTATTGGAATGGAGTTTTGGGGGTTGTCTGTGAGAGACTGGTTTGGTGGATATTTTAATCATTTTTTCTTAATGTTGTTAGTCGTGAAGTCGTGTCTGACCCATCATGACCCCATGGACAACAATCTTCCAGGCTTTCCTGTCCTCCACCATCCCCTGGAGTCCACCCAACCCCACACCCACCCTCCCAGTGACTCCATCCAGCCACCTCACCCTCTGCCGCCCCCTTCTTCTTTTGCCCTCAATTGTTCCCAGCATCAGGCTCTTCTCCAGGGAGTCCTTCCTTCTCATTAGGTGGCCAAAGCATTTGAGTTTCATCTTCAGGATGTGGCCTTCTGAAGAGCAGTCAGGGCTGATCTCCTCTAGGACTGACTGGTCTGATCGCCTTGCAGTCCAAGGGACTCGCAGGAGTCTCCTCCAGCACCACAATTCAAAGGCCTCAGTCCTTCGGCGTTCAGCCTTCCTTATGGTCCAGCTTTCACAGCCATACATTGCAACTGGGATAACCATTGCCTTGGCTATACGCACTTTTGTCAGCAGGGTGATGTCTCTGCTTTTTAGTATGCTGTCTAGATTTGCCATAGCTTTCCTCCCCAGGAGCAAACGTCTTTTAATTTCTTGGCTGCAGTTAATTTCTTGGCACCATTTTTCACAATGGTGGTCTACAAAACTGGATATTATTCCTCAGCAATTACAGCCTCTTTGTGGAGGTTTCTGATGAATCAGGCCAGTCATCTTTCAAGAGTATGTGAGTGCGAGCTAATTATTTTTTGTAATGCGCATCCATATGTAAACAAGAAGGGGGAAAGGCTCTGCTTGTTTGGAAACCGGTTTTTCTTCCTGCATTCCATGTTCATTTCTCCATTCCTCCAGAATATTAGCCTATCTACCCGCTCTGGACAATGTTTGCATTTTAAAAAGGGGGGGAAATCCTCTTGTGTGTCTGTGCCAGGTTTTCTGAAGGAGGGCTGTGAGCTGATCAGCGAGGCCTTAAACCTGTTCAACAACGTGTACGGCGCGATGCATGTGGAAATCTGTGCCGGCCTTCGGCTCTTGGCTCGCTTGAACTACATCATGGGCGACTATTCAGAGGTAGGGGATGGCTGAGCTGATTTGCCCAAATTTGCCAGCGGTTCTGTGTAACGCGCGAGCCGGCCCAGATATGACTGTCAGCCGGTCTGATCCAGCTGCTTTTTCAGCCGGTTGGCAACCCGGCTGCCCCTTGGAGCTCCACAGACGGGTGTTTCACTGTTCCCCAGCAATCAGAGAGCCGTCGCGACTTGTAGCGATGGATAGCTCCTCCCCAATTTGTCTCAAAGCACTTCTGCGTTTATTGGAACAAGTCCTATAAGTGAACGATGCTTTGTGTGAAGACTTCTGTTTGACCTGAACCTGTCACAACCATCTTTGGATGAACCCAGGTTTCTAGGGCTACGAGAGGGAGAAAACCTCTCGGCTCACCTAAGCTTACAAACTTCTTACTGTTTTTCTCCCCTTTACTCACCGCTTTCCAAGCACTTTAGTGCTTCTTCATAAGTTACTTCCACTTCAGTTTTTCACGATGTGATGGATAGCGCTATGCAAAACAGTGAGGTGAGAGATGTATCTAAAATTACGCATGGAATGGAGAAACATCATAAAGGAATCCATCACTGCAAGGCGTAAGAATGGCTTTTAAGACAAATGCATGGAGAAGACCATTCATGGCTACTGATCACAATGGCCATAAAATTACCCCCAGTCTCAGAGACAATCTGCTCCTGAATTCCAGTTGCTGGGGAACATGGGTGGTGTGGTGCTGTTACATTGCCGTCTTGAGCATTTCCCCCAAGAAGGTGTTTGGCTACTGTGGGAATCCGATGCAGGATGCTGGACCAGAGAGGACTTTGGTCGGGAAGGTCCCCATCATTTTGAGCCGTCCGGGGCATTTGCAGGGTGGCTGGTAGCACTGCTGACCACCAGTTCCCCCTTTGCCAGTGTTTCTTCTCTGATCTGGAGCTGGCCCGGACTGGTGAGGAAAGGCGGCCCCAGTGCTTTTGATAGTGAAGGGTAATTGCGTGGTGATGACAAAGCAGAAGCCTTTAATTGAAGGAGGTTCAGGGTGGCCACAGTTACTCAGAAGAGAAACCAGTGCATTCCAGTATATCCTTCCAGTGCATTCACAGCTAGTTTTACCAAACCTAGCAAAAGCCACCAACTCCTGCAAGTGGAGGTGTGTTTTCCTGTCTTCCTGGCCTGCAGCCTTCTCTCCTGCTTTCTCCTCTCTAGGCCTTAAGTAACCAACAGAAAGCGGTACTAATGAGCGAGCGGGTACTAGGCATCGAACATCCCAACACAATTCAAGAATACGTAAGTCATGGGGCTGGCGGGTCGGTTGGAGGAAGGGACAAGAGTCCCTTCACGTGGGGCTCAGCCAAATCCAGGCATCAGAATCTACTTCGCTTTTTGCTAGAATCCCAAGATCTGGGAGCAGGTGCAGGACAGCATGAAAACATTCCAAGCCCAGGATCTTGGCTTGAGGACTAGAACCGGCCTGAGCCAGCTCCGGAGTGCAGCGCTCTCCTCCATCTCCCAACCTCTGCAGAAAGCCAGCGGGCTGCTTCACACAATCCCCACAGCCTCTGTGGCTTATTTAAGCCATGGCAGCTTGCAGGGTGTGTTGGGTTGGTGGCAGGGGTTGTTTGAGGGTGAAATAGCCCAGCAGCAGATGGTGGATTATTCACCGGTGCTTTAATCCTCAAGCAAACCTTGGTGCCCTGATGCAGTGACACAGGAAACTGTGGTCATCTTCCACTGGAGGTTGGATATTCAGCATGAGAGTCAGCACCCCAATTGTGGAATTTGCTCCCCAGAGAGGTTCACCTGACGCCGTCACTTTATTCTTTTCAGTGCCAACCGAAAGCTTTTTATTTCCCCATTGTTTTAAGACCTGACTGTTTTAAGTGGGATTTTTATTATTGCTAAATTTTAGGACACTGTGTTTTAATTAATGTTTTTCTTTTCTTACATTTTATTGTTAAACCGTCTTAAGACTTTGGTAATGGCACAGTCTACAAAAATTTTAAATAAATGAATACTGAACGTAGCTATACCTTTTTGCATGTAGTAATTCCGCCCTGTTCATTTTGAATTGTGTTCATAAGTTCTTTCAGAAAGACAATCTATCCCTCTTTTAAGTAATCAACAAATAAACTATTTTAGTTTGCTCTTTTATCCATAAAGCACAGAATTGAATACAGTGTGGTAGTACTGTCAGTAGTTTAATTTATTTTTTTTAAAAAAGCTGATGGCTACATTCTGTCTGTTGTTGGACGGGGAAAGGAACCTGGGATGCTATCGAAATTGTCTCTCTTCCCTTCGCAGATGCACCTTGCTTTGTACTGCTTTGCAAACAGCCAGCTGTCCACAGCACTGAACCTGCTGTATCGCGCACGCTACCTCATGCTGCTGGTGTTTGGAGAGGATCACCCAGAAATGGCACTCCTGGACGTAAGTAACCTGTGGCCCTGGGACCCTTCACTAAAACCCACGTGGTCTGTGAGGCCGGAATTATATTTGCAGGGGGTACGATGTCACGAGAACCCAAACTTTCCTGTCTTGCCATGTTTAATATGGGGTTTCTAGTCCTCATGATCAAAATAATGAGTATGGTACTTTCTATCCTTTCTCAAGGCTGCATGCTGGGCTCTTCTTCCCCCTCCATGTTATCCTTGCACTGACCCCATGAAATAAGTTAGTCCAGGAAAGAATGAATGGCTGAGGGTTACCAAGTGAACTCGGCCCAGACCTCCTGAGGTCGCCATCTCATCGGTCCTGATGCAGCACGAGAATTGCTGGACCGCAGAGGTGCGGTCCTGCTTCCCCGAGGAGCTGGAGTGCCCATCATTACGGTCCCTTCATGAGCCATCTTACATACCACCTCTTCATGGCCAGGTCTCTGCCACTCCCGGCAAACAAAGCCGAGGCCGTTTAAGGACCCGCGTGCCAGCCCGTTGCAGAGTAGAACAAATTGCATGGAAAAGGCATGGTTCAGACCCTCTTAGTCGGTGTGCTCCAGTCTGGATAGGCTAGTCTTGTCTTGTCTGGCTGCCTTTAGATGCTGGTGGCAGGTGATGGGGTAGATGGAAAGGAATACCCTCGCTCGCTGCCCAGGTTGGCTCGTGCAGGCTCCTGGATCCTGCGCTGAATCCGTTTTGAGGAAGTGCTTCTAACGTTCTTCTCGGAGCCGTCCTGCTTCACTTACTCGGCCTGCTCGAGGTGCTTTTGGGATTGCCCTCTGATGCGGGTGTCCTGGTCCTTTGCAACCTACATATGGACAGACAGAGAAACAGAGCGAGTCAGAAGGGGTCTCCCGGGCCATGTAGTCTGACCCCCAGCTCCAGCCGGCTCCACTCACGACATGCCCACCATGTGGACGTCCAGCCTATCTTTGAACACACTCACCGATGGGGCCTCAACGACCTCTCATGGAAGCCCATTCCACACCCTCAGGGTCCCAACTGTCAGGAAGTGCTTCCTGGCACCCAAATTGAACCTTGGTTCCCTGAGCTTGGCTCCGTTGAAGCGCGTCCTGCCTCCCTCTGCAGGGGAGAACAGGTCTCTGCCCACCTCCATGTGACATCCCCTCACATACCTGCATGTCGCCAACAGATCCCCTCTGAGTCTCCTCTTCTCCAGGCTGAAGAGACCCAGTTCCCTCAGTCTTGCCTCATACCCCATCCCCTGCAAACCGGCCACCAACCTTGTGGCCCTGCGCTGCACTGACTCCTACCTGGCTATATCCTTCCTGTAATGAGGGGCCCAGAACTGAACACAGTGCTCCAGTTATGGGCACACCGGAGTCGTATAGAGTTAGAAGGCGCCTGTCATTTGCCTTTTCGTCCTGGAACGATTTTAACGAAGAGGGGAATATGGTAGCGTGCCCGTGGAACGAAGGAAACAGGTGTGCAATCTTTGTCCCCAGAACAACATCGGCTTGGTCCTCCACGGCGTCATGGAGTACGACCTTTCCCTGCGCTTCCTGGAAAACGCGCTGGTGATCACATCCAAATACCACGGTGCCAAGTCTTTGAAAGTTGCACTGAGGTGAGAGCCCCTCGGCCCCGTGCAAGTTCACAACCGAGAAGCCACATGCAACGGTGCCCCCCAGATGGGCAGGATTACAGCTTGCATCCCCAGCAAGCAGCCGGCCACTGGCTCAGTCGCCAGGGGTTGATGGGACTTGTCCTCCTGATTTGTCGGACTCCACCATGTGGGGGAAGCGACTGTAAATGAACCAGCCCCGTAGAGAGATTATCCATCAATTATCGTAGTTGTGCAGAGTCCCCCAAGCCTTCTGTCCCCACGTTCTTGCGCAAACGCAGGGCCCTTTGGGCTCCCTAAGCAACGGACATCAGAAATAGTAGCAATGATTCTGATTCTGGGCATCGGTCCGTGATACCTCGTAGCCAGTCCCTAGCAGATGTCCCTTGATTTGGCCTTCTGCCTTTGGGTCCCCCCACATATTTGCAGTGAGGGTCTAAGAATTGTGTTGTTTGTAAAGGAGTGAGAAATGCACCACTCTTGGTATGGGAGGGCCCTGGCTGAGGAGGGGCTTCTGTTAAGGGGTGATTCTGCCTCCTCACCCCACCAACCAGCTTCCGCCACCCTCCAACCTTGTCCCTCACACAGCACAGGGTCCTTGGAGCTCCTCGTCAAGGGGAGCTGACCCAGACCTCTTACCAAGCGGACGGCAGGAAGAAATTCAGTAGGCGCCGCTTAGCCTAGCTCTCGAGGGTGGAAAGCCCCGCTGGTAGAGAGGAACATCGACTCCAAAGCAGCCAGAATTTCAAGGGGTGCGGTTCCCATCTCCAAGTGTCGGAGCATCTGTGGGGTTTCTCCGCTCAGCTGTTAGACTCAAGCTCCTACCACGTGGGGTGACAGGCAAAGGTGGCTCCACTCTCTGATGGAGAGCCCCATTTTCACCATCGGAGGCGGTCCATGCTCAGGGGAAACTGCGCCATGTATTTTTTCTGAATATTGGAGCTGGATCGCCGCTGCTTGTCTCTCCCTAAGGGAGGGATACAGAGAATTATCTGTAACACCGCAGATCAGAGACACTCGGGAGATGTTAACAGCATGTCCTTTGGCCCCACTGAACTCTGCCACCACAGCCCCATGGTGCTCTTGTTCATGTTTGCCTCCTTCAGCTGTGGGTAGAAATGCTCTGACTCCTTCCTTTCCACCCACTTCACAGCCACCACTTGGTAGCCCGAGTGTATGAGAGCAAAGCTGAATTCCGGTCGGCTCTACAGCATGAGAAAGAAGGTTACACCATCTACAAAAATCAGGTTAGATTCTCTCTCTCTCTCTCTCTCTCTCTCTCTCTCTCTCTCTCTCTCTCTCTCTCTCTCTCTCTCTCTCTCTCTCTCTCTCTCGAATATGCACCTGCCTTTTAAAAATATATACTGTAAGTGGGAGTATAGAACTGGCTCACTGACGCCACGCATTTCCTTCTTGCAGAGAAACTCTTGGAATGTTCAGAATTAGTTCAACTTCTGGAGAAGGAGCAGCTCATTTGGGGAGGTTGGGAATGGTCCCTGAGGCTATCGGGAGTTGAGTAATCGAAATGGGGTGGAAATAGAGCTAAAACTGTTAAACTTTTCTGGCTGTGCTTTGTTTTCTAAATAGTTGAGATTTGCTACCTTGGGGTGGAAGGAAAAGTTCATAGAATTATAGAATCATAGAACAGAAAAGTTGGAAGGGGCCATGAAGGCCATCGAGTCCAACCCCCTGCTGTTGCAGGACACCAAGTCACACCATCCCACTCAGGTGGCTGTCCAGTTACTTGCTTCTTTTTTTCGTTTTGATCTCTCCCTCCTTAGAAAAATTAGGAGGGTGGTTACATGAACTATTTAATTGTCTTCTGAGACCTTTTGAGGGAGGCAAAATTTGACATCCCACAACATGCTTTTCTTCCAAAATTATACCTGTTAAATCTTCATCCTCCATGAGTTTGTCTGTCACTACCTATTAAATCCATGTAAATTTTGCTCCCTGAAAATCTTCCACAACATGATGCTTTCAAGATGTTTTGAACTCCACTTTGGCTGTGGCTGCTGGGAATAGAAGTCCAAAACCTACAGAGGGCACCACATTAAGAGTGTGCTGCCCCATTAAACACATTCATGGGAACATGTTGGACATGCCGGTGTGTCTCAAGTTACTTTTTGCAACTCTGACTTTCTCTGTTTAGCTTGGTGAGCATCATGAGAAGACCAAAGAAAGCTCAGAGTACTTGAAATATCTGACTCAGCAAGCCGTAGCCCTCCAACGCACAATGAACGAAATATACAAGAATGGATCCAATGCCAACATTATGCCCCTGAAGGTGGGTCACTGCACCTTGGCTCGGTTGATGGATGTTAAGTTTTCCGTCTTATTTAGGTTTTTATATCCCATTCATTAGTTCAGGACTCTCAGAACAGCTGTACAATGTCAGCCCTTTGTTTCTCTGGTTTTCTCTTCTACTGTAGAATCCAATCTTGTTTTCAATTCAAGTGTCCAATCTAGTTTTGTTGTATGAGGCACAAATATTTTTGGGTGTTTTGTGGTTTGCTGTAAGGCAGTCTTCCTCAACCTTCTGCCTTCCAGACATGTTTGGACTACAGCACCCAGAATCCCCAGTCCATGGCTCTGCTGGATGGGAATTCTGGGAGTTGCGATCCAAATGCCAGGCTGGGGAAGGCATTGCGGAGTTTTTCCCCCACAACTGCAGAGCACAGAGCCGGTCGTGGTTTCTCAGTTCATGTTATCTCCACGACAACTCCTGTATAGTACACTGAGTTAGATGTTGTGGACAAACAACCCAGCGTCTTCCAGATGTGTGGAATTACAGTTCGTGAAATCCTTGAGTGTCAGCCGTGCTGAGAACTGGCAGCCAAAACATCCGGAAGACGCCGCCCTGTCTGCCCTGCTGCACGTAAGAACATGTAGAAGCTCAACTTTGTGGTTGGGCCAAGACTTGAACCCGCTTCTCCATTCACAGTTTCATTCCATCCACTGGGGGAGAGTGTTTACGAAGCATTGTGGATGGCTTTATTTTTTTCCATTTTTAAAAATTTATCTTCGGTCTAAAATACAACCAAAAAACCTACACTTAAAATCAAAAAATTAAACATGTAAAAATTATTTTAGTTGCAATATGGTGCCCCGCACCAACGGGACCAATGATACATGTTACAAATAAGAAAAAGTTTTCAAACATTTCAGGATATTTCCCCCTTCTAAAACCGTAGAAATTCTTTTGACAGCTCAAATCCTTTCTCCTTTTTTAAGACTTAATAAATGCACCCCAAACACCATTAAACTTGCTTTTCTTTATAGGCCCTAATATCACATTCCAAACTTGTCTGTACCAGTCACACACTTTGGGAATCATATTTTACTTCCCAGTTTTTAGCCATAAGTGAATGGCTTTAGAAGCAGCTTGGACAGAGTCACGAAAATGGCCGACCCGTGGCATAGCCCTGGATATTCCTGACATTTCTCTTTCAAATTCTAGTTCACCGCTCCCAGTATGGCCAGCGTCCTGGAGCAGTTAAACATAATCAACGGGATCCTATTCATTCCATTAAGGTAAAGATGCCCAAATCCCTCTTGTCTCTCCAGGAAACATGAGTCCTGGGAACTCTTAAAGAAGTCATCTTTGGGTTTGGCTAATGTGAAGAGTGTGTGTGTGTGTGTGTGTGTGTGTGTGTGTGTGTGAGAGAGAGAGAGAGAGAGAGGGAGAGAGGAGATCGTTTATTTGGCAGTGTGGGAGCAAAGATGCTTCTTTCTGATTGCTTTGCAGAGACTGAAAATCTCATTCTTGAGTCTTTGCACTGGCAGGCCCTTCTCCCCAAAGTCCCCAGACTTCATCGGCAGTCAGCAGGCCAAATTCTGTCGTTTTTCTCTTCTCCCCTAGCTGATAATCCTCCTCCCATCCTTCGGAACAAGACTTTCAGGGTGGGGTACGATTTATGATAACAAAAGCAGACATTTTGAAACTGAACTGTGGCCTTCCTGGTTTAGGACTGGCCGCTACTTCCATGCCCAAGGGCTGCTTTTTGCGAATCCAGGAGGGTGCAGGATTTAAATCTCCATACACTGGGGCATGACCTTGAGAAGTCCTGCGGGCAAGCTACCCCTTCAGACCTGAGTCCGGGGCCTGGCCCTGCTCCAAAACCTTCTCTCCACATCTTGTTTGCAGAAGAAGGAACTGTGCCCCTCTTCTCCGCCACGTCCCAGACTGTCCTTCCCAAACCATAATCCTTGGAATTCGCTGGTAGACTTCTCTCGGTCTGGGATGCACACCCTTGCTTTCCTCTCTCCCTCTCTCTGCAGCCAAAAAGACTTGGAGAACCTTAAAGCTGAGGTGCAGAGGCGGCACCAGCTTCAGCAGGCCCTCAAGAGCAGCGATCAGCCGGAGGCGGAAGAAAGAGCCCCCGAGGAGAGCGAGCCTGAAGCCAGCCCCCCTGTCCTGGCTGCGCCCGAGCAGCGCATTACGCTCAGCTCGCCCAACGGCCCTCGCGACTGAACCTGACCCGTGGGTTGCTCAGCCTCGGCCTGGGGCAGCTTCTCTTTGGAAATGTGTTTTGTTTTGTTTTGTTTTCTCTTAATTTGCACTGGTACAATGAATTCACAATGCAAGCAAACTCAGTTCTAAGAAAGGAGCCCTGCTTGCCTAGGCTGGCGACGGGCATCCCGAAAGGGGGGTGCAGCAGCTGTCAATACAGGCACCCAGGAATGTCGCGGGGGGGAGGCGGCAACAGAGGCGTGTGTGGAGTGTGTGTATGTATGCATCATCAGTTCAATTATACTGTGTACAGAAGAGGTTGAATTCTGCGTGAGGTATAACAACATTACTCAGGTCATTTTTACTTTGGCTTCCAAGGACATTGAACATGGCAAAAAGGAACCTGCGCATCCCACACACCCCCCCACCCCAGCTTTCAGAGTTCTCTTTCTCCTTTCAAACTTTGCTCCTCAGACCCTAATGCTGTTTAGGTGATTGTGAGACTATAAATAGTATATATTAAATAAATAAATTCAGCCATATTTTTTATCTAAACATTGGATTTTTTTTTTAAGCCTGAACAGTGTGGGCAAAAAAGAGGCAAGATTTGGAGGAGGTGGCCACACAGCCTATCAATATATAGGAAATAGCCATTGAATTTCTTTTGGCTTCCACTTTTTTTTTCTTTTTTGGGGGGCGGGGGGAAGCAATTCTGGTTTGTCTGGGAAAGGTGTTTTCTTCTTTTTGACCTGGGGAACGAGACACCGGCGGGGGGGGGGGGGGGGGGTGGGTGGGGTTGGGGGTTTGGTGTTGTTTTATTTTTTTTGCTAACCCTGGAGGGGGAACAATATATTAAAAAAAAAAAACCATGTCCAAAGAAAATAAAGGTTTTAATGAAAGATGTAAAACTGTGTATTAGCCACAGCCAGCCCTGTGCTGACTATTTGCCTACACCAGTGGTAAAAAGGGGGATGGGGCTCTTGCACTGGAAATTACCTTGTGGGTGGTGGCGGGGGAAGAGCTGAAGGCTGCCCTTCTCACACCCGACTCTCAAAGCCTTCTAAAAGTCTGTAATGTCCCCCTTTATCTTTTACAGGGGGAAACCCCCAGTGCCTCTATCCGCTTTCCCTAACATGACACCCTGCAAACGGATTGGACTACAACCTCCACCATCTTGGTTGGCCAGGCTGATGGAGCATGGTGTGAGCCGAAGTCCAACCCAATCTGGAAGGGGTCCCGCAGGCAGACGGCTGCTGGGCTCTACAGATCACCCCAAGCCAAGCCCCCCCCCCTTGATTAGTGTCGCTGGAAGCAGGGTTGGGGGGGACGAATCCAAGGCGAGGCGGTGAGGCGAAGACGGCTGTCGCGAGGGCAGTTCAGTTGACTGCCCCAAAAGGCCGAATCGAATCAATGTCTTCTTTTTAAGAAAAAAAAAAAGGTTTATCTGTGAATGTATTAAAACAAAGAATCATGAACCTAAGATGACGCTCTTCTGTCTTTCTCTACTTTTACAATTTCTCCTCTTGGTGAAATGATCTGAAATATTCTGGCACTGCAAAAGAGGGTCTGTGGGAGGGTCTTGTCTCTTTTCTCGTCCTTCCCTTTCTTTAATACTCTTCCTCTGAGTCACACACTTAATTACCTGGGGAAATACCTGTTGCTGGCAACGGGCATCCCCTGACCAGTCTTAATCTTCCCACCTCCATCTGCAGAAAAAACAAGTGGTGGTGACATGAAATCCACACCAACAACCGTGGGTCTCCTTGGCTGCATATCAGCAAGCCAAAATGCACCATCTAGTCATGCTCACCCTCTGTGTTTAAATTGCCTCGATGCTTTGGTTGATCTTTGCAAGGAGCGTAGCAGCCCTTCGCCGTGTGACTAAGAATTGTACTTCGGGGGGGATCTTTCCATAAGGAGCTAGTAGCAAGGGGGAGGAGCAGATGGCCGTGTTGCTCTATCAACCATCTCCACTCCTTTTTTCTTGCAGCTTTGGGGAGGCCCAGCCATGGAGGCTTCCAGGTCACCATCTGCCTGTTCCATGCGTGGCCTTTGAGATGGACGGTGGGTGGACCGTCCTGACCTAGGACAGCCGTCTCCGTCATGGTACCCTTGAGATGTTGGCCTCCGCCAAGCACGAGAGGTCAAGTACAGCACTCTTGGGGCACCAGGTGGGAAAGGCTGCTCTACATTTGGGAAGATGCGAAATGATTGTAAAACTAGATGTATTGGATGTGGTGGTCTGTGAGCCAACAAACAGGTCTGGAATTGCCCAGACTGAGCCTGGTACCATCAGATGCAGGCAGGAGCACCTCTGCAGGTGAAAAGCTTTATTTGGTCCAGACGGAGGGGCAGGGGAGAAATGGTGCATTATTTTTTGAAAGTATTTTAATAAAGAACAGATTTCTATGTTTCCTTTGAACTTCTGGGTTTTCTCCTCCCTTTTTTCTGGTGAAGGTGTTCAATGGCATCCTCTCCTGGTTTAAGTAAACCACAGTGTGACCAGAAAGTTGCCTTGTTTTAATATTTTACAGGCTGATGGGATGAAGAGGGTATCCCGATTCGCGTGGCCATACGTGCCGAATGACTCTGCTGAAATCAGAAGTTGGGGGGCATGGGGTTCACCTAGGATGGTCAGAACTGCACGCATTGTTTGGCTGGAGTGCCACTTTCCTGCTGAACTTCCTTCATCTTAAACTAAATGGCCAATGTCAATGGGAAAAGGTACCTATTTTACACCCATTTTGCCTGGCCAAGCAAACTGATAAAGAGGTGCCCGTCTTTCGCATTTTATCATTTCAACAACCCTGCAATGGAGGTTGAGGACAAGCGACTGCTGTATTTTGTAGCTAAGTGGGGGTCCGACCATGCTCCCCCCTTGACCGTCGTCTGTACGGTGGTGCTTTCGTATGCACCTTTATAGAAGCAATTGGCAAATGTTCCCCCCAGGTGGGAAAAAGAAGAGCCAGAACCAAGCCTAGAAGAGGCTCGGGACATGAGCTTCAGAGCTTGGGCCAGCCTCCTGCTGGTTTGGCCTTCGGTTCCCATGTGGCCGAGCCAGCGAGGCCAAGGATCAGGAAGACTGGGCACTGTAGTTCTGAACCACGGGATGCTTTGGCGGGTGTCCTAGCTAAATGCACCAAGTGTGCACGTTGGTCCTTTTCGTGCAGCTTGATTTGGCAGCAATGGTGCTGGCACATTAATGGAACCTGGGAAGGTGTGCCAGACAGAGTTTACAATGTCCAGGTAGGCACTTGCAGGAGGATAGCTAATTGGGGGAGTCTGCATCTCGTTACTGTGGATTCACTCTTCACTAGATGAGGTGGTTCTATCCAGCCATTAACCTGGTGGTGGTAGGGTTCTTTTTCTGAACGTTAAGTGGAAAATTAGAGGTGTTTCTACACAGGGCTTGTTACAACAACTGGGCAAAAAGAACAGTCAGATGGGAACATCTCTCCCAGAGCTGGACTGAAGATCATTGGTAAACTGTTAAAAATTCGGGCTGTTAAAGCAGAAGAGGGAATCTTCAACAAAGGGTGGAATAACAGAATTCAAGTCTGATATTTGAATCCTTGAAGGGACGGTGCGGCGGACGGATGCACTCAACAGATTCGTCCTGCTGCAGCGCTTGGAGGTAGACAGCTAGCAGAAGATTGGTGGCTTGTTAGCAGCTGAGACCTGTGGAAGGACGCAAATTGCTTTGTCTTAGACAGGCAAGCGATCAGCTACCCCGATGGTAGGAAGGACTCTCCTAGGAATCTGGATAATCCTGTGATTTCCTACGCTGGTGTGACCTGGGGAGGGAGGTGGTGGAAGTCCAATGTCCTCACCTGACGTGCCGTGGTACCTCTGTCCAAACGTGGCAGGAACCCCCCACACAGCCGCTGTCCTTTGCCCCCTCAGTGGCATAAATTTAGAGGACTGCCTCCAGCCACAGAGGTCCCGAGTATTGACGTAGGTAGAATCCTTACAATTTTGCCAGTTTTGGGAATGACTGGAGCACGAGACAGGATTGCAGGAGGGCCCTATGGCATTTAACTGGCAGCTGTCTTGGGACACCCGGGCCTTTCATTATGGCAGAGGTGTCTGTAGGCTACTGCGCACTGGAGGATCCGCGTCTCCCCCCCACCCCCGGTTCAAATGTGTTCGCATACCAACATGGCTGGCAAGGAAGTGTTAACCAAAGAAAATCAAAACGCAAGACCTTCAGGCAGGGATTACCTTCACAATAGATCACCTTTCCCAAGGAACATTTCAAAGTCAGCTGGGTCGGCCCTCTAGTTGTGTCTGTGAGAAGGTGCAGCAAAGCCTGACTTTATGTGAAGGTCTCCTTTCCTCAGACTTCTGTCTAGCACACCGAGGATCCTAGAAACCTGTTCAGGTGCCAAAGCACAAGATGTGGCAGGGTGACGCCAGTCTTGGGATGCCCTAGCCAGTCCCGGAACGGAAGCCTGGGAAGCAGTGCGAAGGTTGTTGCGGACCCAAGCTGACAAATGCGGAGAACCCACCACTGCTCCCGCCATCCGAAACCAGAGGACCGCAGCTGGCAGGATGCAGCCGCTGTCGTGTACTCGAGATGGCCACCGTCCCGTTGGTCAGTTATGCCTTAGGAAACGTACGCCACCTTCCTTTGAATGACAGTAGTCACTTTCTCCAGGAAGTAGAAGCCAAGTCCTGAGGCTTCAGCAATTTGGGGGCTCCCTTAGAAGCAACTTTGGGGGGTGGGGGAAGGACTGCAATATCCCAGTGGCTGTTGCAGATTGTCATCAGCAGGCTGCCCCTCTCCTTTGGTCAGAGATAGTATTAAGGTCAGAGATAGTATATCTAGGTAAAATCGGTTCAGTGGAAAACATGCAAGGAGGTCACCCAATACAACTATCTATGCTAATTAGGTTAATCCAACTGTTTGCCCACAGACAACACAGTTGCTCATTTGGGGGATGGATGAATTTAGGTCGAGTTGTAGCTCTGCCTCTGCATTAATCACAGCAGCTTCTTGATCATTGCTGGCAACCCTGGCGGTTATCTTCACTGGGGTGAGTGCCAAGAAGACACCACCTCAGCGAGGGCGGACCGGAGATGCCATTGCTTCTCAGCAAGCTTGCAAACTGAATGGCTCAAGAGCGGCGCTTCGTGCTTGCCGCTACCAGCTCTGGCTGCAACAGCCCCGACATTCCGGTCCGCTTTTCCATGCCGGGATATGCAAGCATCCAAGAGCGAAGGCAGCCTTTAACAGCCCGGATGGACACCGAGGCCTGCAGCCAGGGGCAGAACGTTCTCCTCCAGCCCTCCGCCTCGTCACCAACCCTCTTTCGGCCACCCCACATCCACCTGCAGTGAATTCAAGACTTCGCCTGCTCTGACTCTGCTGCCCAATTCCACCTCCTTCACTTCTTGAAAGGAATTGCCAGGATAAGTAGGGAGCTGGGCCGTGTTGGGTACTCCACCCCTGCGGCAAATCCGCACCCTACGTCCAGACTCACAGCGATGTCGCAGTTGAGCAGTGAGTGTGTGGGTTTCTGGGTGCTCTGCACACCAACGCAAGTGATAACCTGAACAGGCCAACGTGCGGGGAGCAGAAAAGCCTGCAACTGCCCTGGCAGACTGGTCACGGAGCAAGTCGAGTCCTTTGCAGGACGCCAAGGGCTGGGCCGAAGGGTCCGGCTGCTCTCTACCGGTTGTGTGACTAAGCCATGTGTGAAGCGGACTCTAGTTTCACAGGAAAAGAAGGGAGTTTGCCCCTGCACGATCCCCTTTGCTCCCCACGTGCGCACACACTTCTGCACGGAAATTAAGCCCATCTTCACACGGAATGGGACGGCCAAAGCACAGCATTTCTCCAGTGTGAAAACCCCAACTTTCAACAGCCTAAAATCGAGCATGGAGGGAAAACAATCTTTAACAGCATCCAATCTTTTCTGCACCTAAACAAAAAAGAAACACGTTTAGTTTTATATGCATTTAATAGTTTACCAATTGGTACAATAAGATTTTTGTTTTAATATGCAGAAAACATGAATAAATTCTGTTTTACACAGTCTGAGAGCAACAAATCTTACTGTAAAACACAGAGCAGTATTATATACATTCCTTTACTGATTTTTTTTTTAAATTTTTAATTGTGTCAATATCTTCAGTTAACTCCTACAGTCTGGGGTGAGGGGAAAAAAACTTTCTCCAATGGCAATCTCTACATCGTTCGTATGAAAACGAGAAATAAAGACAACGGTCCATGTCAGACAGGAAGAAACCTCTAGAACGTGGAAGGTTCCGCTAATTCTCTTCGAAAAGAACTTTGGAAAGCTAGGAGAGTACGCTCGGGACAAGGAAGCAGTCACTCACACGGACATGGTGGAAAGAGAATTAAAAAGGGCTGGTTAACACCCAGGCATGACTTGCCAACGCTGTCCATCTTCTGCCCGTCCTCCCCCCCTTCTCCGCCACAGTCTCTTTCCCCTATTTTATACACATCATTTCTGCCACTAATGGAGAAGTTTTACATTAGGAAAGTACCCTGGGTATTTGTTTAAGCGCCTAACAGGACTGAATACAAGGAATTGTTTTTCTCTTTCCTTCATTTTAATTCTGTCAATTGAACAGGCAGGTCAATTCACGTTCAAAAATAAAAAGGAAGGAAAAGCCAGGTACTGACAGTATAGTCTGGGGGCCGGGGGGGGGGGGTCTTGGTGAAGCAACAGCCAAAGCTTTCAAAATACTACAGTGCTCCACAGCTCTTGACAACTTGCTAGCAACTAGTATTTTGTTTTTTTTTTTAATTTTATCTTTAATTATTAGTGCTCTGGGGCACACCATTGGTCACACCACACACAAAAGCAGGACGGCTTTTAAACAAAAATTGTAAAGTGCAAGATGCTCTGAGACATCAGCTTTCAGATTGTGTCCAAACCACAGAAAAAGTTTGCACTTTCCAAAAGAAAGGGGTCGGGGGGTGGGGGGAGAAAGAAGATGCAGCTAGGATTTTGCTGGGCACCTCTCCATACATGCAGCTCTGGAATGTGTCTGTGAGAGTCTATTTGCAGCTTTGCTTTGAGAGAATGGACATCAGGACTCAACTGTTCGGGAATGTAGTGCTAAGACAACTACTCTGCCCATTCCTGCACAACAGGACACTCAATGGTGAACTCCAACACACCTTCCGATAAAACATCTTACAATCTGAACCAGTAAACCTCATCACTCAAAACTCTTCACAGAAAAAGAAAAAAGGCACAGGAATAGACAGAGACACGAGGAGTGGCCGATTCAAAGGCCAACTCCTCACCTAAGATCACCACCAGCTCCTCCCCTTTCAGCTTTGAATTTTGTTTTAAAACCAGGGCTCTGACTGCGGATTCAGTCCGTGACCATCCCTGAGAATTCATTTCTTACTGTAGCTTGGCTAGGCATGTGCGTCGCTTGCGAGTTTAAAGTTATTCAAAGCAAGGCAGTCTTTCCCTCTCAGACTAAGCCAGAGGCTAGAAAAGGGATTTTTGTCCTAAACCACTGCTCGGAGTTTGATAAAAAAATCCACAGTGGTCAAGTTCCCTTGTTAATCAGGTACCTTCGGTTCACTGATCATGTAATACGGAGATTACTTCAACCGTTAAAAAACCAGAATTACTTTACGATTGCTAACAGCATTGTTATGACTGCACCAATAGATGCAGAAATTCTCAGGAAGGGAAAAGTAGCAAACGCATTTCCTGTCAAACCAGCTTTAAACTAGAATAAGACCTCAAATGTGTAAGATTCATGCGTGGAAAATTGTTACTGACGATGAATAAAACCAAAACGCTGGATTCTCCAGAAGTCAGATTTCCTGAAACCAATGACCCACCCCAAGTTGTTGCCTGCCTTTGGTCTCCTAGCTTCTGTACAAGAACCCAAACACAAACATTCTTCCTTGTGGGAGAACGAAAACAGTTTTGAGTCTAGTCTCCCTTGACGTGTGTTCAAACCCTCCAAAAAGTTTCTTCCTTACTATGCAATTTTTCAGGGGGAGTTATTTAAAAGCCACATAGTAAATAAAACCTTTATGTACTAAAAGATGTCAGACTAGCAGCTTGGTTCTTGTGGATTTTGCGACAACCCCGCTTGGTTAGAAGGGTCGGAATTCACCGGTTACAACAGAATTCGACCAAAAATGCTAACGAAGTCAACAGAGTTCCAACGTGTGGCTGAGGGCTCTTCAAACTGGGAAGGGAAGCTTCCACACTAAAATGGATCCGGCCATTTGCTCGAGTGCAACCAAAACCCGGACTTAGGATACAAAAGGTGATTGAGAGGTTGCCTAAAACCTTGCAAGCTATGCTAGCATAAACAGTTCACATCTTCCTTCCGGATCGTGAGCTGTTGTTGCCCAAGCGCCAACAACCCGAGGGCAGGCACCACCGCACCTGAATAGCAGCCCTGCTTTCACTAACAGGAAAGGTGGGGAGCCATCCCGGCACCGCCCCACGTACGGCTGGCGCTTCCACGGGTCAGGGGGGTGGAAGGATCATCAGGCTGACCTCGCATGAACCTAACAAACTACAACTGAAGTCAACGCAAGGGAGCACTGAACTGTCAGGAGTCAACTGGGAGATTCACGTCTAACTGCCCAGGAAGAACTTAAGTTCCAGCAGGACCAACAGCCTCCCGAAGACATGTTTCGCATGGGAAAGTGTTAATCACCAAGTGTGAGCACGCAAGAGAACTCCAACAACCAAATCTTTTAAAAAAATTACACGTCACATCATACCAAGGTTTTCTTCCTATATTGCCGCTCGTTAGTATAAGGATACCAACTTTTTCTTTTCAAACGTGATAGGAAGCCAAAATAAAAAATATATCCTATTGATTTGGCAAATATAGCATGAGAGGAAAAACAAAACAGGTTTTAATTAGTTTCCATTAATTACATAAGATTCTAAGTTGCAGCTTTGTTTATCTAATATCCTTAGATTCCTTAAGCACACTTAAGTGATGTTACAGAGATAAGTGTTTCTGAAAGAGCCCCCCCGCCCCCCCCCCAAAATCCCATATGAGAATCACTAGTTATAAGCACCACCCGGCAGCAGGGGACGGGTGTCCCATTTATCCATCCAAGAATGGTTTTGCTGTCACCAGCTCATGTGCCCCTAATTCGACCAACCAATTTCTGCCTTCTCAGGTCTGATGTGACCAATGCCAGCCCGTGTTCTTAAACCTATGGTACTTCTAGACAACGTATGTAAATTTACAGTATACAATTTGGATTCACCATGCATGAATACTTTGTGTGTAACATTTAATAAGCTCAATCTACATCCAGAATAATTTACATGAAAGGACAATATTTATTTTTAAACAGAGCTCAATGGGTAACCATGGTATCCGAGTGCATCCGGGAGGGAGGGAGGGAGGGAGGGAAGGAGGGAGGGAAGGAGGGGTGGGTGGGTCAGATGTGGATTCACTCAACGGCACTCCCACACTTTTACTGTTTGATCTACACTGCCGGTGACCACGTAGGGTGCTGTCTTGTGGAAATCTGCAAGAGAGGGGAAGGCAGGAGGTTATTACACTGCCGTCAATCAGAAAACGTACAGCACCTTGACATCCTCCCTTTGCTCCTTCTGGGAGGAACCCAAGGCAGCCTGCATAGTTCCCTTTTGTCCTCACAACCACCACCTTGTGAGGTAGGCGAGGCGAAAGAGGCCGTGACTGACTCAAAGTCACCCAGGGAGCGCTGGGGCTGAGGGTGGGACTACAGCCCCATCTCCCGGGTCCCCAGGCCGTAAGTCTTGAAAAAGAGGGGCTCATTCTCAGTGGAACTACTATGACTCATCCTGATGGGATTCTCTGGGCTCTGCTACCAGGTATGTTCACCTCCTTTGCTCCAACACTAAGACGATGAACGAGACGGTACGATTTGGCCTCTGCCTCCAAACTCTGTCCGCAGGCCTGCCTCCCACCCACCAAGTTTCTTCCCACTCTGCCTTGAGACACCTGTAAGGACAGGGCATTTTGCTTCCATTTCTCCTCAACATGTGGAGTTTCACGTAAGGACGAGCTCCCCTGGCACACAGGCCAATGCCCTAAAGGTCCCAGTTTGTGGGACCCATGGCCCAGGGCTCCCAGAGTCCAGCAAGTGCCATGGAACAGGCGTGACAGACCACACGGGTGCGCAACCCGTGGCTCTCTCAACATCTGGGCGACAATTCCCTCAGTGAACTGGAGCCGAGCACAACACATCAGGACGAGAAGCAGGCCGAATGGCACTGAACTCTAAGCACCAACATGGCGGTGGGGACGGAGGCATAAGCGGCTCTGAGTGAAACCTCCATGGGCAACTCTTTTTGAAGGTTGGGGGGAGCAGGCGGCCACGCAAACCAACCAGGTCCAACTGCCCCCCTCAGTTTTGCCCAACGGACTACGTGCGGATTCCAGCGAGCGCCCCAGTGCGCCAGCTGGTTCCCAGGCTGCAAGGAGGTGCGTCCGCCCTGCAAGGCCGGCCCAGCGACCCGCAAGAGTGACGGACGCGTGGCCGTGTGGCACGGCAGGCGCACTCGTGGCACATACATACCCAACGAGGTAACGAAGTGTTCGTGGGCATTGAGGGTCTTCATGCATCGCTTGTTCTTGTAGTCCCAGACGCGCAAGGTCTTGTCATCGGCACAGCTCAAAATAAATTTACCCCCAGAATGAAACAGGACGCCACGTACCCAGTTATCATGGCCCACCTTTTGCGGGAGAAAGAAGCACAGGGTCACCGGATGGTCCTTGGCACATGCCCCAACATTCCTACCATGGCTTGAACCCGGTTCTAAAGCCCTTCCAGGCCCGGCCACAGACAGCCAGTGTCAATGGTTGGACGCAGCGTCCTATTTTTGGTTGGCTCTCTCTGAGCCCTGACGATGGTTTTTCTGCGTTCACCCAAGGACTCTCCGCAACCACCCGGCCGAGATGCGCCCGCCTATTCCCCCAAGCAGCAGGTGCACAGAGGTGCAAGGACTGGCAGGGACGGGGAGGGGGAATACCCGGGGAACTTACAAGTGTCATAAGGCACATGCCAGTACTAATGTCCCACATCTTAATGGTCTTGTCTCTAGATCCAGAAAGCAGGAAAGGGCCTGGCTTTCCACTCTTCTTAGTCTACAGAGAAGAGAGCGGGGGGCGGGGGGAGAGAATGATCAAACAAGATACTTTGCATGAAGAAATGCCCAGACAACTCAGGAGCAAACAGTTAAATACAGGTGCTGCTGCCAAGGTCGACAGCACGCCGAGGGCTGAAAGAAAACACCTCTCTCTGCAAACGAGCACAACAGCAGAACACCAGCTTCGTCAGCTGAGCATGTGCAGGCATGCACAGGGAGCAGAGACTCCAGCTTTGGAGGAACGCTGGAAGCAGGAAGGTTTCGTACCACCTACGATCCACATGCTCCACTGCACTCGACGTTCCAGCCAGGCTGGGCTTCTATTTGCTCTGGGCTGCTCCCTAACACTAGTCGCTTGCTTTGCTGAAATAGGAACCACCCCCTTTTTTTAGTTTTCCGTCCACAGCGAATACGCTTTGCCCTTATCCGTGCTGGGGAAGGATCCACAAAGCTCTTGGCTTTCACCTTTTTAGCAGGAGAGAAGCTGCTGTTCTCTCATCCCACGGGCTGTTCCACTGCCGCCTGGAATCTTTTCACGCCAAGTGCGGTCCAGCCAATTGAGACGCCCCTCATTGTGACACCCTCTTCTCCCTGCCCTCTTGCTGGCTTGGTGCTGGTGGCCAGAAGGTGTGGGAAGGAAGGGAGCGGAGCGGCACGCGTTCCTAGTTAAGGACCTTTCTGCACACCACAAGGAAGTTTTTGTAAGGGTGCTGGAATATACTTGAAAACTGTGTCCCAGAAGCTTGTGCTGCAGTGCACAGAGGGAGAAGTCAGGTGCACCTGTGCAGAGCAGGAAGGTAGTCCACCTGCCTTCTTACACCCAAAATACTGCTCAGAGAGTTCTGGACACAGAGAGGACGCTTAAGGTTACTCTGACCAACAGTCACTGCTGATTATTTGAATGCAGAAGCTTTAAAATGTTAGTTGGGTTTCCTGCAGCTGGTGAAGTGGACTCCAGTCCATGCAAGTTTGCAAAATAAATGTGGGAAGTCTTTAAAGATGCTATGAGAACTCAGTTTTCATATTCATATAGTAATGTTAGCAGTAGGCAAATGTTGAAAGAGAACTATACACATTTTATATGAACAAATACGAATACTAGATTCCTGTAAAATGTTCTATCCTAAATTCAAGGCAGCTAATAAATATGATGCAACAATACTATCAAAAGCAAAAAAATAAAATAAAATAAAATACAGCAGCAAAATGCAACAATATCGCCTTCATTAAATCAAAAGACCAAAAAAGCAGCCAGGTTTTAACTCAAATTTTAGAGCCCACCAAAAGAGTTGATTTTAACAGCTTATGGTGCAAAATCCTTCTTCAATCAGAATTCTACCACCCATGTTGACAGACACTCCTCCCCCAAAGTGGAACCGGGTGCCATACATGAGAAGGTGCTGTGGAAGCATCCGGAGGGCAGCAAGAAGAGACCCCCTTACCTCCGATCCCGTAGCTTCCAATATGGTGGAGTAGGAGCTCTCGGGGGCCCAGGAGATGCACTCCACCACATGCTCGTGTTCTCTGAGCTCAGCTTTGCACTCCTTCGTCGCCACCACCCAGACGCGCACGGTCTGGTCATTGGAGCAACTGGCAATCAGCGTGCCGTCCTGGTTGGGCCGCACCATGCGGACCCACTCTCTGTGCCCCGTGAAGGTCTTCACGCAGTAGCTGTTTGGGAGAGAGAGGAGGCGGCCATGACCCAGGGCTCTGCTCTACCACGCAGGGCCCGACACGGCAGAGGGGAACGCTCGTTTGCGTGCCTCACGCCTGGACACAGCGAACAAGCTCCCAGGGAATCTGAACAGACCGCAAAGCAGAATCAAAGGACCGAGTTGAAGCAGTAACCAGTTCCGAGCCCTTTTTCTTACGCTTGGGAGAAGCCTACCCTGCTTCGAGTGGGAAGTAATCCAAAGGCCACCTTCCTCGCACAACAAGGGAAAACAGTCCCCCAATGCCTGCTTAAGGAGAGTTTTCTCCAGGAGGCATCCACCAGACAAGTACCGTCTCCCAAAGGAAAGTTGTCATCGGTGGACTACCGCCGTGAGTCGAGCATCAATGCACACCCCCAGGAGCTGGCTCCTTCAACCACGTGCCCCCTTGCAGAGCCCTCTGGGGGAATCCTGCCACTCCAGAATGCTGATCTTTGGTCTGATGGAGGAAGACGTTTCTCACACCTGTGTCCTCCATCACTGTTTCTGCACGCACTCGGGGACAGCAGCGCAGTGGCTGGGGCTGCGAGCTGGCGGGGAGAACCCAAGCTTTCAGATGCATCTTCTCCAGATGGGCCCCTAAACGCAAGCTGCTGCAGGAGCTTGCATCCACCCAAAGCGCTCTCTCCACTGCTCTTCTGGACTGCCACAGCCAGGAGCAGAGCATGGCTCTCTCCACCTAAGCGCTTGCCCAAACCTTGTCTTCAGCATATTCCAGAAGGCCTGGAGAGCCACTACATCAGGGCTGGAGCAGGCTTGGGAAAAGCCACCCTGGTGTTTATGGGTTGTTTTAACAAGTCTTTCAAGAAACAAAATAAAAAGCTCTCTTCCTGAGCTGATCTTGTGTACAAAAGTGCCGTAGAAGGACCACACCTGCGTGTGGGCGCACAACAACAGCCAGTGAGAAGTAGACACCTCACCCCGCCCCCCCCCCCCCCCCCCGGCACAATGCTAGCCAGCACTGCTTGCCGGTCTGCCTCTGACCCCAGTTCAGGATGTTGGTCCTTGGCGTCAAACAACCTGGCCACCGAGCGTTTCTTGTCGCAGCCTTCCGGTGCATTAAGACCTGCTACAGAGGCCCTTCGCCAGCTCCATTCCTGGCACAGGTCATAAGACCTCTGTGACGGAAGGGCCGTTTCTGTGCCTCTGCAGCCTCTCCACACTTTCGGACAGGAGACGCCTCTGAGAATATTGCCCGGGTGAGACTTGCCGTTTCACACACCTCCAGCGCGGGGAAAAAAAAAATTAAAAGCTTGAGGACTTTGCAGAGATTTCTTGCCCCAGAAGGCAGAGGGGGTATGAACCAGTGGCAGCCCCAGCACCTGTACTTCCAAGCGGCTGTTGCCAGCCGCCGAGCTGGAGCCTGTGTGGCGTGACAGGTGGGAAAGAAGGAAAAGGAAGGAAAGTCACAGCAGCTTGGAAGGGCTTATAATTATGGCAGGGGGTGAGGAGACAAGCTGTTCCCGCCACAGAATCCTCTGGGATACCTGTGAGCACACTGAAGGGGCCACAAGCCACGCTGAGCCCGTTGGTCTGCTGGGGGCACTGTGGGCAGTTTACCCAACGGCCCACCCTTATGCCGCTTACATGCAAGGCCCTGGCTGGTGCTGGCATTCCAAACCTTCCTTCTTCCCATTTTTCTCCTCCTCCTCAGCATTTTCGCACTGGTAGTGTGTTAGTCTGGCGCTCCTCCTCTCCAGGGAGCCCTGGGTATTGTCGTGCTTAGGGACAGAGACTAACCCTTAAAAAAACACACATTTTCTACCCTGTGTTGCGTATTGAACCTTATCCTAAATGCTGCTCAAGTATCATGGGAGGGTCTTACCCTGTTTGCACTTCCCACATTTTGATGGTTTTATCCCTTGAGGCAGAAACTAGATGATCTCCGTTGGGCATGATGGCTACTGAAGAAACATTGTGGTCGTGACCTGGAAAGGGGGAAAAACAAAACCCGCTTCTGTTATTGAAGAAGGGGTTGTCCGGTTAGAAGCAAAAGTGGATCGCGTGGCTTTCAAGGAATAAGCGAGTGTGTTTATTCGACCTCCTCAAAGACAGGCATTCACTGAGGGCCCTGGAGTAACGGGCTGGAGTGGCACAGGTTCAGCGCCACACTCCATCACAGGCAACCGAGCCGCATCTCGAGTGCACTTCCCAGGTTTTCAGAAAGACTCCAAGAGGAGTGGCTACCTTGGGAGCAGGAAGCAACCGCTCTTGAAACGACGTTTCAAAAGCAGGTTATCAGAGTTGAGAAAAGATGCTGAAAGGTGCGGGCAGAGTAGTTAACGGATTAAGGGCTTAAAGCATCGGCAAATTAAAAAGGAATCCAGTTTGCCATGCCATGGAGACACATGACCACAAGTGTGTTTAGAAAAACCCCCAACTGGAATGCTGTGGCAGCAATTGTGTGTGGGGGGGGGGCAGCTGCCTCTTCCTCTGGACCGAGGAATGGATGCAAGAGCACTGCACAGGAGAAGGTGGATGGGGTCCTGGCCTCACACACCAAACCCCTTTCATCCCTATGATCTGCTCGTATTAAATGTTGATTTCTTCTCCCTGTTGTGAACTGCCAGGAATACTTAACACCATTAGCTATACGCCTGAAACAAAAGGCAGACAAGTTTCTGACTCAAAGGACCCATGGAGCCAGAAATGATGCCTTCCTTGGGAAATATCCAGGGTTCTTATATAGCTGGCAACCAAATTAGCCAAAATGCGATGCCTCCCAGGGGCCTGCTGCTCTAACGACACTGTACATTCGAGCAAGATTGCCTGCCACGTCTTATTTCCCAGCAAGCTACGGAAATGAGTATTAAAACCCTACAGTCCCCACTTCATCAGGTTAGTATTATGGGGTATAAAGCCTGTTAACATGGCAAGCCAAGTAGAGAGGAGTTGCGTCCTAATCTGCCGGCATTAGCAAGGCCCGAAAATTACTCCCAGAATACTAGTGCTGTTCTCAGCAAACATGGTGAGCCCCCGGGCCTGGATGGCGCCACTGCCAGGTCACAGACCGGGGCTCCCGTGATCACATACTCTGCTGGACAGAACAAGTTTCTGCAGGCATCTCGGAGGCAAGGCTAAGCTGGAGCTCTGCTCCCCGACATGCTCGTTTCCCATGTGCAGCCCGCCAGGGGGCATTTGCTCACTTGCGCTCCCACCTGCTGGCCTCAGTGGTACTCAGATACACAGCTACCACGTTGTCTGCTGGTTGTGGCAAACGGCAGGCATCTCCCTGTCCCAGCAGCCCTGGGAACAGGGCACGCTGCGTGTGGCTTCATTTCTCCCACAACGGTCTAGGTTTCTTCCATGCGCTTACCATGCATGGTTCTGATGCACTCGAAGCCCTGGAAATCCCATAATTTAATGGTCATATCTGCAGAGCAGGAGGCCAATAGCTTGCCACTGTGGTCGAAGGAAATATCCTGCACAGAGTCTGTGTGGCCCTTCAGAGTCCGTTCAAAATCACCTGTCTCATAATCCCATACCTGAAAAGTAGGCAAAGACACTGGTGAACATCTGCCCAGCCAAGCTCCCACCTGTATCCAGAGGAGCTGAGAGGCACTTAACACACTGTAAGTTTCAACAGAAAAGAGTCCGTCTTCCTTTGGTTGATAACAGAACAAGGTTTATGTGTAAATGGTTACTGACTTCAGTATTAATTAAACTTTCCCTGCCCACCCCGACAACTTCAAGGTAAATCAATGTTTACAAGCAAAGCTGCAAATAAGCCAGAGAACAAAGCTTTGCTGTTACCCACTGTGCCTTAACAGGACTCAGAATCCCCTTCTAGGAACTGAGTCACAGAGGTGGTATATGCAGATGCAATTGCCGACATCTTCAAAAAGAGACGTCACTACTAGATAGGAGCAAACAATATTGTCTAAATGGCCAAGTAATTGCTCTGCACACAGTTTCAGAGTTGCACATAATGACACTGAGGAAACAGAGCAGCCAGAGATAAAATTGGAAGGAAACTAGTCACGTGAAACTTTTAACAGCCCTGATTATAAAGCTACACTCTGGAGCATGAGTAGAAAGGGAATAAGCAGCGAAATCACTAAGGATTTTCTTAACCCAGTATTTCCTTCCTTGCCATCTACGATTCACTCATCTCAAAAGTTGCACTCTCAAGAATGCAACCCCAGAAAGACAAAAGAATCTGTGTATGGATTGCCTGCAAATAATCAGTGGATTAAAATCATGTATTCAGTAAGTCATCTGGGTTATCGGACAGCCATAAAGTTTCACAACAAAAGCAATAAGGGGCAACCCAGATCAGATTTCTCCTTATTAATGGCTAGTATTCTAAGTGCAACAGGCAATTTTGGCCTTGGATAGCAAAGGCTAGCAGAATTTTGTCAAGAGAGTATGATGGTCATAGCAAGCACTCTTTTCCAACAACCCAAGAGATGACTCTACACATGGACATCACCAGACGGTCAACACAGAAATCAGACTATGTGTTCTGTAGCCAAAGATGGAGAAGCTCTATACAGTCAGTAAAAACTAGACCAGGAGCCGACTGTGGCTCAGATCATGAGCTTCTGATTGCAAAATTTAGGCTGAAATTGAAGAAAGTAGAGAAAAGCACTAGGCCACTCAGGTATGACCTAAATCATATCCCTGATGAATCTACAGTGGAGGTGACAAATGGATTCAAGGAATTAGATCTGATGGACAGAGTGCCTGAAGAACTATGGACGGGGTCACGATGGGTCAAATGCGACTTCGCGACTAACAACAAAATCCTAAAATCCTAAATGCAAGAATTATTCCACCAACAACACAGTTCTCATGTTCTGGTTTCTCCTCAGAGCACGTAAAATAGGTAGTTAACCTGCATCGGGGCTGTTACCACCTCAGGCACCAGGTGGAGGCACATGTGACTGAATATTCTTCTAGCCCATCATCATCATCCGTGCATGGAGAAAACGAGTGTGTTAAGGGAAAATGCTGGTCTTCTTCCTTGCATGCCCTGTGTTCTAGCATCAGAAGCTACAACATGCCAGCACGTTTTCTAGTACCAGAAGGGCATGTATTTGTGTAGGTAATCCAAGGTGTGTTTTGGGAGCCCAGACAGACAGACAGACAGACAGACAGGCTCTCTCCCAGCTATATGGACACTTCACATGAACCCCTTCTGGACACTGACAGCAAAAACCAAAGGAGTCATCACATGATCGGGAGATTCTCGCTTGACTCTCGTCAAAAGCCATGGTGGAGCTATACAGAAGAGACTTCATCCCAAGACCCTTCAATTCAGACTCAGACACGTTTTTTAAAAAATATTTATTACCTAGGCAAGCACAGCCCAAAAGAAGCTTCTTGGGCACTACACCCGGATTCTCACCGGCATCCTCACAGCAAGCATCAAGAGGTAGCTATCGTGGTTTGGGGAAGGCTTGGTAGACAAGAGAAGTTTAGTCCTCCCTGCCTAAAGCTAGACCCGCAGTTGCAGGTCCGGGCTGAGGGGCTGCAACAGTGAAGCTACACAAGCATGAAGGCACAATAAGCTCATGCACGGGGTGACCATGGACTTTACTGGACTCCAAATTTAAACTGTTCCAGACACACAGAGCCACCCCCCCCCACTCCGGGGCACCCGCAAGATCCTGAAATGATTCCGTAAAACACACATTGTTGACACTTGTAAGAGGGACAGACAGTGGGACAGCCAGATAGACAGGCAGACGGCCAGTCCAGGTGATACAGAAGGTTCCTACCTTTATTGTGGCATCCTCTGAAGCAGAGACCATAACACTGAACACTGGATGGAAAATTACTCTTGTGACCGGACTCCTGTGCCCACTCAGTGCATACTTTTCGGGGGGGCGAGGGATCCATTCTTTAGGGTCTCGCTTCTGACCAAGGGGCCCCCCTGATGTAAATTCTTCCTTAGCTTCATTTAGTTTGGATTCTAATTCCATAACCTACATGGGGGAAAAAGAGCAGACGGAGGAATGAACCAGCAGAGCTGCAAGGCATCTCTCAAAGAGACCCGAAGAGCTAACAGAAAGCACATCATTAGCAATCTGCGCATTTTTGGTAGCTCCCAAACTGCACGATTCAGCCATCCAGTTCATCTTGAACAAGCGAACCTAGGCCAAGGCCTGCCGGGCCGTTCTGGATCGATCCAACTCCTCCTTGCCTTGTCCTTTATTTATTAGACAAAAGAGCAAAAGCTCCTTTTTAGATACTCAGTAACAGGTTTTCCTTTACAAAAAATCAGTTAAGTTTGCCAGTCTTGAGAAAGGCTAGCTATTATTTTTCCTTTAAGGAAAATGTGCTGCTTTAGATATAATACCATTGCTAACTAACTTCCTGTAAGTTCTTCTTCCCAATATTTCTCATTAAAGATCCTGGCTGTGATACTTATCTTTTATTTTGCTCTTTGCACTGGTTAACGAAAGCAAAGCAGGCTTCAACTGGTTCTCAAAAGTGATTCACTTGGTTCTCCCATCAGATTTTACTTTAGGCCATGTCTAAGTAGGCCTACGTTAGTGAGGCTAACGAAGCCTGGACTGCACCCAGCTCTCATTAACTCCCTGCATCCCTGGCAGCATGTTCCAACACTCCGTGGAAGTTCACCCACTAAAACCTGAGCCCTGTTCCCTTGCTACCTTGGGTTGCCAAAGCCTCACACACACCCATCTCCTGCCCTTAGTTTTATTTGAATTGCAAGCATACAAAACTGCCCACAAGCACTTTCATGGTGTCATTAAAGAAAATTCTTTAAAGAGAACTCATAGGAAGAGCGTGCAATGGCAAATACCTCATCCACAGGTTGAACAATGCAAACACATAGAAAACGATGCTCCATTCCCAAGGTTCTACAACTAAATGAATACCAAAAGAACCCACCTCTGCAGTTGACTATGTTTCAGCTGCCTGCATGCACTGTGGCATTCCATGAATCCTCCACAGATCCTTTGGAAAGTCAGATTCTAAGCCAAGCCAAAGCTCCCCAAAGAGAGTATTTAGTTGCTTCTCTGAAAAACATTGCAACCATATCCCAATCTGGGCTTCTGCTTACCTTCTTTTGTAATCTTATAACTGATGTCCATTTTTTTTCCAAGAGTCCAGCATACTTCTTATCTAACTCTTCATTCTGAAGAAAAGAAAGACAACAGTCACTAACATACCAGTATGGTGCAACAGTCATCCCCCCCCCCTAAAAGAACTAGCTTTCATGGAGAGGAAAAGCATCTGAAGGCTATTTTTGGTTATTGGTTGTATGTTATTTATTGTTTGGATTTTATTGTTTTTAATATATCGATTGTGAGCCATCCCCAAGATGCCTTTCATGGGGGATGGCACACAAAAAGTTTTAAATAAATAAATATTTCCTTCTGGGAAAAGCATCTTTTAGCTCTTTGGAAATTGGAGGTATCAAGTGTGAGCCTTAACTCAGAATCTCAACCAATCCTTGGCTTATGCTTGGTTGTAAACATCTATGAAGTAAACTAGATAAACACCATACAGAAGAAAAGTCAATGAAACGAGCTAAAAAATATTCAGCTTTGTACTCCGAAGGAAATCTATTCAGAATCTGTGAACTGTCTATTCAGAATAATATTAATATTATTGTAATACAGTGAACGGCCTCCTGGGAGCAGCCTCTTACACATGGCTCTGATACAATATGAATGTCTACCTAGGCCAGGACAGGCAATCTATACTACTCCACATGTTCTGGTCTACCCATGTTTTGACCTACAGGGTCCACCAGGTCCAGTCAATGGTGAAGGCTCACGGGAGTTATGGTCCTCCAGCTGCCTTCACTTACAAATCGTCCACCTTAACCCAGCCTGAAATCCTGTTTTATGCAGTGTGCAACCAGAGGCCTCAAGGAAGCCCACGACCAAGATATGCACCCCGGAACTGGTTATCCGCATCAAATTTCTCTAAACACAGAGATTCCTTTAAATTAATGGTCACGGATAGACCGATTCTCCTCAGTTACTTTTTTCTAGCCCATTTTGAAGCCATCTAAAGCTACTGGCAGTTGCCGTATCTTATGGCAGCGTTCCTGCATTCAAACACATTATACCTGTCCTGAATCTATTCTAACATTTCAGGAAATGGTCCTGACAAACAGGTCTCTTGCACCAGCAGGGAGACGTCAACCCCAAAGAGATGTGAACAGTTATTTCAGCTGATGCGTTCAGAGCAAGCGCCTTCTTTTCCTTGGGAAATTAACTCCTTCTGGATGCTGCTGGAGTTTAGGAAACCAAAACTACCCTCTTTAGCCAGGCGTGGCATAACTGCTACTCTACAGAGGTAAAACGAAGACCACTGGAGCACTGCTGAGAAATCTGCACAAAGAGATGCAGGCCACCTCCAGGAGGGCCGTGCAGTTAAGACACAACGAGGCGTGAATTAGAGGAAGGGTTAATTGCAGAACTCAAGGTAAGAGCAAGGAAAGGAGTCGGGCGTTCTGAGCCACGTTCCAGGTTGTGTGGCTTCAGAGGCCAGCAATGGGGGAGATGTTACAAGGCGGGAGAACAGCAGAACACTGGAGCTGGTAATTGGATTATCTTCTTGGGTTAGAGGCCACAGTGGAGGCATCACCACACTGCTTGGGGGAATTTGGGGGTATTTATGGAACTAATTTGCACTGGAGCCAAATGCAGCCCCTGAAGCAGTTGCCTGGATAGCATCCAATCCTGTGCTGCCTGAGGTTTTGGAGGTCTTTTAATTCATTAAGACTTCTTCTCTCTAATTCATAGTCCCCTGGCTTCCCTGTGCAGTTCTCTCATAAGGAAGAGAAACAACAGCCCCCATGGCTGTTGGATAATAAGGCTTCTTAGCATATGCAGGTCCTCCTTTTTATCTTTTGGGGAAAAGATTTTTAATGAGGTCGATGGATAGGCTGGTACTCCTTTCATCAAACCCCATTTTCAATTACCCAAACAATGAGATTACAAGTAGGACTTTATTTGAGTGAGATTTGGGGAAATGAAATTAGAGCCTCAAGTGGGTATTTTGGGAAGGAAGACCAAATTTTGCATTTTCAGTCTGATTGGTAGACCTGAAGGGAGATTAGCACGTATTTGAATTGCTCATACACAGGAATAATTTGTATGATCTGAAAAAACAGCACTGCATTTCCAGATCATACCAAGATAATTACTGCTCTTTCCAAATCTAGAGAGCAAAGAGTGAGTGAGTGAGTGAGTGAGTGAGTGAGTGAGTGAGTGAGGCAGGCAGGCAGGCAGGCAGGCAGGCAGGCCAGAGATGGCTGGATAAAGATAGACAGACTGACTGACAGACAGACACTGGGCTGCCCTGAGTAAATCCATACCATGAATTCCCCATGGAAAGTTTCCCCTTGACCAAGACCTCCCCATACCTCTGTTCAGGTTACACCTGAACATGGGGCAGTCCTAGCCAATGCAGTCTCCATCAACATGTGTGTGAAAGTGTGTTACGTTTACATACCTTTACACTGAATTTCATACCTGATGGGGTGAGCAAAGCTCCTTTTGGAGCTTCAATGTCTCAGCAAAGTGAATGATCTGGTGTGATCAGCAAATGTGGCTCATGTAACAACCCATGGCTAAAATCAAGCTTAAGCAACTATGCAGGTGGGTCATGATGTTTTGTGAGGGATCCATCCCACCATCTCTGTTTCGCAAAGACAGACTACATAGGCCAAATGCTCGTCAAGTTAAGCATGAGTATCGCCCAATAGCAAGAAGAGATCTACTCACCACATCGAGCTCTGCTTCCTTTTTAAAAACAGAATACGCCTCTTCATAGCCATTAGAACGAAGGTAATCTGCTATCGCTCGATTTCTAAACAAAGAAATTTGGATCCTGAATTCACATAATTGTAATTCTGCAGACTCCACCCCACTCCCCCGGCACCAAATGTGCTTGCAAGAAATTAACATTGAGAAGAACTCCCTCCTCTTCTTCCTTGAAAGAGAAATTATGACCAATTATGACTCATTATGTTCTCAATGTTTGTACACACACAGAGTCTCATCATCAGCGCTTTATGGAACTTTCTTGTCCTTCCCACAGTTTCCTCCATGTTTACTGGAGCATAAAAGAGGCATTACTTATTTATTTGCTGTAGGATAAAAGTGGTTACTATACACAAGGAAACAGATGGGGGAGTTCGGCTGTGCTGATTTATCTGAATTTCTCGAAGGCTCTGGGATGCTGTTGACCCAAATATCAACCTGGACAGCCTGGCAGGGATGGAAATCAGGGCGCGCTGTTTGGCAATGGCACCACTCCTGCTTGGCAGGTTTCTCAATGAACTGTCAGGATCCAGGATGCAGCGGATTTCGCCACTGCCCCCACCTGAGATATCCCGTGAGGGTCAGAGGAAGAGCCAGCCAAAGGCTTGCATTCCTCCAGTTCCTCAGGAGGCTGCTGTGGCCAGGTGCACCTTTCCTGGTTTCACAGGGCGTGCCCAGGAGCCTTTTCTATCTTGGCAATCCACGTCTGGGCGTTCCCTAGATCAGGGCGTTGTAACATACGCACGAGCTTTCGGAAGTTTCCATTGGTTTCTGATGGTCTAAAATGCCACGCCTGGAATTTCAACTGGAACACGCTACGTACAGCCCTGTGCAACTCAAGGCCTGCCACCTGGAAGCAATGCTTCCTCCAAATACCCCTGCCCCCAACTGGCTGGGACAGTCCCTCCTGTGAAGATTCCTGTTATGGAAAGGTACAGATCATGACATCTCCTGGCAGCAAGCGCCAGGCAGGTGCTCCTTGCCCAGAACGGCCAGCTTGCCAACTCTTTGGGCCTTCTGAAGGCCGGTGAAAGCACTCCTGTGTAAGAAAACTCCTAGATAAGCTTCAAGAGTTGCCAACAGGACTCCAACTCTCTCACATGACACCTAAAAGCCTGTGGAGAGCAAAAGCAGGATTCGAGGGTGACCTCTTTTCAAAGTGGCCTGCAAGACACTAAACAAACTTTGTGTGGATCAGACCAGAAACTGGTGACTATACACCATGAAGGCAAGGATACACCTCCTATCTGATCACTGGCAGAATCTGAAAGGCACAAACAGCTGCATTCTGTTAAAAAAGCAGAAAGATCACTTTGTGCAACTTTCCCCAACCAGTGGCCCTCCAGATGTTTTCAGGTTGCAATTTTCAGAATTCCTGACCAATAGGCATGCTGGTCGGGGGCTGAGAGGTGTTGAAGTCCCCACATCTGAAGGGCACCATGTTGGGAGAAGGCTTGACAAGTTTTGAGCTCACTCGCTAGCAAGTAAAGGGGGAATTTTGGCTTTTTCTTTCTTTGAAAACATCTTGCAAACCACTTGGAAGAATGCTGGAAATGAAGCAGTACGTGTAATTATTAAATGAAATAAACACAACTGAATTAGAAGGACTGACAGTTCAAGCCTTCCCTACAATTTACTTGAGAAAGGCAGCACTGGCTTTGATCTTTTTTATTGCTAATCAATCCTTGCTTATACCCCCGACAAAGCTCATCGCAGGGTATCAGTGGAACCGCAGACGTTCCTCCAAGTCATTAGTCAAATATTCCTACTTCGCCTTGAGAATCGTGAAGTATCCAAAGGCAAAGTCCAGTGAACTGTAGTTTTCCACTCCTTTCTGTGACTACCAGCAGAAGTGTTAACACTGTTCAAGTTATGACTGCCTTTATCATAGCTAGACTGGACTGGAGGGACACGTTCTCGGCAGGTTTGCCTCACAAGCTGGCCAGAAACTCCAGCTAGTGTGCAACAGCTGAAGCATTGACCAGGGCCAACTTCAGGGATCCCACAACTCTTCTCGGGTATCGGTGGCACTCACTGCCGGCCCATTTCTAGGTGCAATTCAAAATGCCAATTAATTCTTTTCAGGCCCCCAGTGGTCTGCAGTCAGATTGCCAAAGGGACTGCTGCTTCCTCGTGGAAGGGAAAGCGCTCGCGCTCGGCCGGACTGCTGCCTGATGTCGTTTGCCCGGCCTGCTCAAGGGTTTTGCTCTATCTGCCACTTGGTCTCATTCTGTGATTTTGTTTCCCTGCCACCTTGTTTGCTTTAACCATTTCCACTGCATTTCTATAAACACCTGGTTGCTGTTAGCCACCTTGGGAGTCGGGTTGTTTTAATCAAGAAAGTCTGCTATGCTTCTGTAGTAATGTGGCAAATGTGAATTTATTCACTTATGTGAACCGTGTGCAACCTTCCAGGCCCCTTCGGGTCTGTTTCCAGGCTTCTTACATTAGGATCAATGCCCTCCATGCCGTTTCTGTACGGGCAAAATACGCATGGCCCTCACTGTACCACGGGCAGGCCCTGCTCTTGCTATTCCATGCAATTACGGATAGATGCGGTGAAAGGCCCTCTCACGCCATATAACGGGAACTAGTGTGACAAAGCGGACACACACATGCTCCAGTTAGTCACAGGGCTGTGCATTCGGCAGATTCGGGACCCTGCACTGGCGAGGATAGAGACAGCTCGCCCTGCTCCAACGGACAACCGGTGCAGGCTGGGATTTAACTGGAGAGATGCCTGGCCCTACTTGGCGCTCTGAAACGGGACAAGATCTGGCAGCACGAAGGACCCACTCGAATGCCGCGGAAGGGGCACCTTTCCAACACTGGAGGTTTATCGTATGGAGGGGCACGTTCCTGCCCTGGGAATCTGTGTCGGGTGATGCTGTGCAAGGCCAGCTCACACAAAAATCAAGCCTTAAAGTGCCCTTTGGGAGGAAGTCCTTTTTGCAACCAACACAGTTCTCGTTCATCAGTTCCTAGGCTTCTCACACACATGCCCTGGAGGAAGCATGTCTACTCAGCACAACTCTGGAACACGTTTTCTGGCGCAAACTGTTGTTGTGATGTGCCACGACATCAGCGCGAACTTGGGGCGACCCTACGAATGAACGCCCTCCAAAATCTCCTGTCCTGGACAGCCCAGCTCAGCTCTTGCCAACTCAGCACGTGGATCGTCCGGCAGTGAAAGCTTGTTCCCCCAACCTCTATTAAGTCAGTGGGATCTACGAAAATGCTGCAACAGTCGTTTCTCTCCGTTCAGAAACTGCAGGTAGTAATTTAGCAGCTGAACCCTGCACTGCATGAACTGTCTGTGCTATGCCGACCACACAGGCTTCCAATGTTTCCAGCTTGCTCACATTAAAATCTTTGGGGGGGACCTTCCTGGGAGTACCCCCACTTTCAGTCTTTTCAGTGGTGGCAGCAACCCAGCTATGAAGCTTTGCCCTCAGAGGTTCATTTTGCGCCTTTCTTTTTAACCAGCAAAGACTTCTTCATTTTTCTAAGCTTTTTAGAAGCAATTTTAATTGTCCTGGCCTTGTAGCTTTTTGATTATATTATATATAAAGTAAGTGAAGGACATCATCATCTCGTGTGTATAAAAATGACTAAAATGTACAGGTGTCTTCTGAAGTTAAAATGAACACATTCCTATTGATAAGCTCATGGTCCTTAAAAAAAAAAACTAGGAGAAATGGAAAGTGGATGTAGAAGGAAAAGGGGGATTACAATATATTCGGGCATACATTGTCTTTTGAAATGTCTTTTCACAAGTGCAGCAGTGCTGTAGCAGAGAGGTCCCTTGGTATGTACGGTTTGTCCTACCCTGCTAGGTTCACAATAAAATAATTAATTAAGAGTCAATAGGTGAACACTATCATCATTAATGTCAGGAAAATACTGTAACAATAGCAGGAACAAAACCTGTCATTCAGACCAAATGCTCAGCACAGTTAAGAAACAGCCACCTTAAAAACATGCATTGAAAACTGCCCAGAAATCCATCGCCTTCTAGGGTTTCAGGGTGGTTCTGACTTATCCTTGCCAGGTTCAGATGTCAGGATAACCTGCACTTGATGATGGTAATCATTCATGAGGCAGCTCGTGATTAGCATGTGCCGGGAGGGAAAATAAGCCACCATGGGCTATTTTGCCTTCAGGATAATGCAGACCCACCCACCCCGGTGTCCTTAAACTAGCATGTCAACAGCGAATGGATTAACACTCTTAGGATGACAACACAGAGGGAAAAAGCAGTGGTGAGGAAAAGCAAATTCCCAAACTTTGGCAGTAATTTCCAGAGTTGACAGCTCTTGTAATGCCCAGCTGATTTGAAAGCAGAGTAAGCTATGTTATAGCACGGCCACTACTGGGTGAGTTGAGGGAGATGCAGTTTTGTGACCCAATTCATGTTTCTTGGAATGAATGAAATAGGAATCCATCTCTCGCTGCTTCCAAATGAAACAGTCCAGTGTTTTCTCAAAAGACAGAATCGAGTTATATGCCCTGAAAGAAGAGGCCTTCTTTCTGCCCGATCACATGAATGCGTCAATAAGTAAATCAACTGAAAGATCAGAACGGTTGCACAGGAAGCGACAGAAAACGCAAGACGCTGCAACAAGGAACTTCACCAGAGTTGTGCGAAATGAAAACAAGACAAATATGATGTGAATGTGCCCGAAGTTAAGTATCAAAGCTTAAATTAAATGCACAGTGAATTCCTTGCAGTGACTCGCCCTTTCTTCAACTATCACACAGTTCTGCATCGTGCGCGAGCAGGGCATGTGCAAGTCCACAAAGCTGGCCCGAAGTTACACGGAGGGCTGAAAAATGCTGACAGAGCACCGCACAAGCCCCATCCCTCCAAGCACGCCCACACTTTTCCTGAAACCATGTCTGAAATACTGCTCTGCTTTCAGGCGTCTGGACAACTATTCTTCTGCAGTCAGATATGGTTGTTCTCCTTAAGATAGCTATGGAAGAGCCACTTTCAAACTGGTAGCCAGCACATGTGAAGGGCACAATTCCAGTATAGGGGATTTTAGCCCAACACGTCTGGATGGCACGAGGCTGTGGAAGGCTGCCACAGAAGTTGAAGTAAAGTTAGGTTACGGACATATTGTCACTGCAATAGCCCTGCAAATGCAAGGTCAGATTTGCAGTCTCATACTCTGAGTTACCAGCAGGCTAAAAAGCAGAGACATCACCCTGCCGACGAAAGTGCGTATAGTCAAGGCTGTGGTTTTCCCAGTTGCAATGTATGGCTGAGAAAGTTGGACCATAAGGAAGGCTGAGCGCCGAAGAATTGAGGCCTTTGAATTGTGGTGCTGGCGGAGACTCCTGCGAGTCCCTTGGACCGCAAGGCGATCAAACCAGTCAGTCCTAGAGAAGATCAACCCTGACTGCTCTTTAGAAGGCCAGATACTGAAGGTTGCGATGGGCTGGACACGACTCCGCAACTAGCAACAAGCAACAACATTCTGAGTTACTTACAGTTCATCTCGTTGCCTCTGTGACAGCACCATGGTGGCTGTGATGTCAGGTTAACGTGATTCGGCTGGCCTCTCCTCCTTGTCAAGCAGCGTTGGGATCCTGGGATCCACAATTCGGTCTGCCACCAAGTGGCTCCAACCCAGAAGACACGATGTCTCTGAATATGAATTCCAGCAAGTAAACCGGATTCATTCAACAGGAACAAATCATCTAGAAAATATGGAGGGTGGGGAGAGAAGAGATCTTTACTTAGGAAAAATTGTTCACGGCAACTACCGCCCAGGTCAAAGACTTCTCATTCCATAAATTTACTGGAAAACCTGTAGTGTTGCCTATATTTTGTTGGAAAACATTGCAAATAGAAAAACAAAGAGTAATTCAGCAACACAGAACTGTCAAAGGTTATATTTGTTATTCAACAACATCACTTTACTGGGGATACATCTTTAATGCTACCCTGCTACATGGGACCCACTATCAATTCTATTTTGATTTTTACTGCCGATGCTGAGTTTCCTACTCCTCACAATCACTCTGAAGAATGAGGTCCCTACCTCCTGAGCAGAGGGAAAGACTGCTGAATTCCCCTTTATAGTCATCTTGCCAATCTCAAATATTTAAATAAACCCAAACTGGGTTAGAATGTCCTAGTCATAGTTACAACTCACCAGACAAAGACCACTAAACTAGTCTGTGGACTTCCAAAAGTGTTTTAGAATAGGAACCTCTTGAGGCTTCATGGCAAATAAATTTAGGAAAGGATATAAGTAAGGAAGAATGAGAAAAAATATGGGGAAATAGAGCACTAAAAAGTATGTCAATTAGAATGAAGGAAAAATTTGTAAATTAGTACGGAAATGGTATCTGACACTGGTAAAACTATTATAAGGCTAATAAGTACTTTTAACATGTGTTGGAGATGTCAGCAAATGTGGGTATGCATTTCCATATGTGGTGGGAATGTGAAAATATTACAACATTTTGAGAAACGGTTTTTAAGGAAGTTAGCGAAATAGTGAATTTGGATACTGCAGCAGACCCTGGGATTGTATTATTGTCATTGTTTCATGAAAAAAACTGAAAAAGGAATATTAAAGAATAACAAAATTATTAACAGCTGTAAGATTAATAATAGCAAAGAATTGGAAGGAGATAGTATGAAGAAATTTGGAATATAGCCATTAATAAGCTAGCATGCTGTGTTAAGATAAAAAGTTGATAAACAAGAATAATTTTAACATCATTTGGGGGGTTGTTCATTGAATGTGTATTAATAGAAGGGAAGGGTATTAAACCTTCATATGATTCAATGCAATTTTGGATGGGGGGTTGCCCTGAAAGAGGGGAAGCGCAGAAGAATAGTAAAGGAGAGGAAGGGTACATATAGGTATGAATAAATATTGTACAGCCAAAGGTCCCAGTGTGGGGGTGCACTTTTTCGTTTAGTATCACATAACAGAGAAACAGAGTGAGTCAGAAGGGGTCTCCCGGGCCATCTAGTCTGACCCCTGACTCCAATAGATATTAATTCTTTTCACTGATTTATATGATATGATTTATTTGAACTGCAATTTTTCTCCTTTTAATTTTTATTGTTATGAATGTATCTTTATTGTATTGTTAATAATAAAAAAATAAAAAGGTATTTTGGTACATTTAAAAGCAAGGGATAAGAGAGTTTCAGATTGTGATAGAGAGCAGAGTGAAAATATTAAATTGCTTCATTCTTGTTTCTCTCTACTCAGTGGTGTTATTACAAACTTTAAAAATCCAGGTGTAATATAATTTTATAACTATAATGGGAGCAAGATAAATGGAGGATTGGGCAAGTATAACCACTCTTTTATGACGAGACACACAAGTAGCTACCCATATTTTCATGCTGCTATTATCTTTGTCAAACCTTTTATCTGGCATTGGTATCTTGGTATCTTTCAAACCAGGCCTGATGACACCAGAATAGCAGGTTTACTGCGCCAGGCTCTCATGCACTCAATCTGGTGGGTTTTTTCCTGGACAACCCCTACTGGAACAACGGGCTCTTTCACAAGAGCAGTATTGTCACAAAACCTTTAGCAAGGGATGTCTAACCAGCCCTTAACCATTGTTTTCCATTGACAACAACTAGCACGTAACTCAACCGCAGGCTGAAATGGAACAATCCCAGACAAAAGTTTATTGCCTTTATGAGAACCAGACCATATAACTTTCCCTGATAGTGCAAAACGTGCAAACCTGGAAGAACAGTTTAATGCTTAGCTATAGTTAAGCAACTGCCATACAGAGTCTGGTTTAAAACCCCATAACAAAAATGTTTATAGAACTCTTAAAACAGGTTGGGATTGCTCTTACTGATGGGATTAAATTAGGTAACTTGTTTCAAAGTTTAACTGGCACATTTGCAGAGTCTAGGTACTTAAGAAAAACATGTAAAAGCTACTAAACATTTAAGCACACAACAGATTATTCTTGTAGCTATTTATCAATCTAATGCTGAGAACATGTGGGTAGGTGGTCTCATGTGGGGTAGCAGTTAAGAGTCCAGGACTGGGACTCACGAGTTATGGGTACTAGTCCCTAACCAGCCATGGAGCCAATTGGGTGACTTTTGACAAGTCACAGGCCCTCAACCCAGCCTACCTCACAGGGTTGTTGCTGTAAGAATGACTGAGAGGTGGTGGCAAATTATGTCGACCACTCTGAGTTCCTTGAAAGGAAAAAAAATGGGATATAAACTGAATAAATATATTTTTGCAATTCCGTGTCATACCAGAGAATCAGAGAAAGCAGCATCAGGTTTCAAGCACTTGTACCTGAGAAGATAAGGTTGGGAAAATACCAGTAACACCCAACCAAGTTTCAGAATCCAAATGATAAGGTAGGCCCTGCTCAACAACAAGGAGCTTTATCACAATATTTCTTTTGACATGGGAGTGAATGAAAATTGGGCATGGGGATAAGTAGCATTTATTTGGGGGGACAGACTTTCCATACCTAAAGTCACTCAGTTACTGGTACTCTCCTGATGCTTTGTAATCCAGCTTCCTTTAGATTCCAACAACGTGGTGTCAAGACTGTTGGGTGTTTTATTCCAAAACTTTGGGGCAGGGGAGGTTGGAAATCTTATCCCGAAGTATCGTCATTTTACAATCAGCCAGGATGCTTAATTCTCAGAACAAATATTCACATATATTCAGCCCGATTTCTTAACTGGCACCATCCTGTTGCTCCACTTTCCAGAGAGGACCCATGCGCCTGCCTGCCCTCCAACAAAGACGCATTTTAGAGGAACCCATCTTAGAAGGAATCCGAGGACTGCAGGTGCCCCTGCTGTGTAAATAGCAGCACCATCAACAGGCATGACAGCCAAGACCCAAGCATTATGTCACTGCCCTGCCCCATATGCACTCTACAAGTCCCTCAATTCACCAAGAACTAAAGCCAGCAGCCCATCGATGTAAATAACATAGAAACAGAGCAAGTCAGAAGGGGTCTCCCGGGCCATCTAGTCTGACCCCCGGCTCTAGCCGGCTGCGCTCACGACATGCCCACCATGTGCATGTCCAGCCTATCTTTGAACACCCGCACCGATGGGGCCTCAACGACCTCCCGTGGAAGCCCATTCCACACCCTTGGGGTCCTAACGGTCAGGAAGTGCTTCCTGGCATCCAAATGGAACCTTGGCTCCATGAGCTTTGCTCTGTTGGGGCGCGTCCTGCCTTCCTCTGCAAGGGAGAACAGGTCTCCATCCAAGAACAGGTCTCTACCCACCAGGAAGAGGCAATAAAGGGCATGTAGAGGCAAGCTTGCTCACTTTTGTGGAGAAAACAGCCACAAAAGCGGTTTCTCCAGAAGTAAATAAAAGCAGCAATGCAGAATTCTGCACTAAAATACTAGGGCAAAACAAAACGCATCTCTCAAATTATGCACGTCAGACTAACCCACAGTATTCCTGACTCTCCACCTCAGTTGTGGCAATTATCTGGAGGAATTTTCCAAGAAAAGTCACTGACTGGAGAAGGGAATTGAGCCATGCCTCTTGAATGTTTAAGGGGGTTAGAAAAAGCAGGTGCTCTGGCTCTGAACTCCAGAAAACTATGTAAATCCCACTATGACTCTTGGGTGACACCAAGGCTTTTTAATTCAAAGGGGAAAAGGAAGTTTGCCTTAGGATGCAACCCTATGCCCCCCCCCTACATTGTCAGGGAGTGGGGAGGATAGTTTGGAGTCCCAAGCCCAGAATCTTGTGACCTCAGAATTAGGACTCTAAAGGCTGACCCTCTGCCTTGCCCCACTCTTTCCGTTGGTGTGGAAGGCATGCCAGTTGCCTTCTGAGGATGTAACTGAGCCTCCAGGGGACAAAAAAGGATGCGGCAGGGAAAGGAAGAGTCTGGGGCCACTGCCTTATGCCTTTTGCTAGAGGCGTCCCAGCCTCCTTCCTTGTGCTAGATCTAACTGCCCAGAAGCAGTTGAATGGGAGTAAATACTTGGGGCTGAGGTGGCAGCGGCAGCAGCCAGCTGCCAAACTTGGGAGGCTTGCATGCACCTGCCTAAAAGCGCAATATATCTGCCCTTACTTAACTTTTTCATAACTGCTAAATTTTGTTTTACATTTGGGGAAAAGTCTGCATGGCCTGGAAAGGAAAACAAATAGCAAGCACTTGGGTTCTGGTGACTTGCTGCCTATGCTGCTCAGATGCGAGATTTCGATGACTTGATTTTACGTAAAGCGTAACAGGAGCTTGCCGGACATTACGTCATATGATAAATTTAGTCTAGCAACTACAGGTGCTAGTTTGTTTGCTTGGCTATCTTGAAAGACTCCCACACTCTTTTGTGTACGTGTGGGATGGCCCAAGAAAGGCAAATGAACTTAGGAGCAGTACTATGCTGGGGGCAGATGGGATCACTGATCCAACAGGGAGGTGGCCCCACCTGCCACAGGTTATAGGAAAGGACTATCAGGCCAAGCTATGAAGACGCATGGCCCAGTCTCGCAAAACACCTCCAAAGTAACAGCACCGCTAAAAGCCATGCTGTGAGACATTAATTACCCTCTCACGCTGCCTCCTCTCCTCCCAATAAGGCACTGTTCAGTCCAGCACTGAGGAGTTACTTTAGAGTAACACACATACATTCATGTTTCTTTGTATCTTAAGGTAAATGCTGGAAGCTGTTTGTTGGGAAAAGAGTTCACTTGTTGTAGCACA